ATCAGTTTTTCTGTGGCCATTCGACTTTTTGCACTTTAACCAATTTCCTAAAAAAATTTGATCCGGTAATCAATTTTTATGGGCTTCACCCACTTTTTACGATCGGCACTTGTGATTGTTCAGTTTTTTAGACTTGATCGGGCGTTCAGAAGTTAGGACCTTCACCTACTCTTGTGATCGGCTATAGGGGCCATCCAGTTTTTGGGGAATTCTTCTGATCAAGTCTGATCAGGCATTCAGTTCTTGGGACCTTTTCCTATTTTTGCGATCCGCTCTTGTGACCGTTTGGTTTTTTGGGCTTGATCGATTTTCTGATTAAGTCTGTTTGAGCGTTCAGCTCTTGGGCCCTTCGCCTATTTTTGAGATCTGCTCTTGGAGCCATTTAGCTTTTTGGGAATTCTTCTGATCAAGTCTAATCAGTCATTCAGTTCTTGGGACCTTCGCCTATTTTTGTGATCGGCTCTTATGATCGTTCAGCTTTCTGGACTTGATCAATTTTCTGTTTAAGTCTGTTCGGGCATTTGGCTCATGGTGCCTTTGCCTATTTTTGCGATCGGCTCTTATAACCGTTTGACTTTTTGGACTTGATCAATTTTTTGATCAAGTCTGTTCGGGGCATTCGACTCTTGGCGCCTTCGCCTACTTTTACGATCGGCTCTTGTAACCGTTCGGCTTTTTAGACTTAATCAATTTTTTGATCAAGTTTATTCGCGCGTTCGGCTCTTGGGCCTTCCCCTATTTTTGCAATCGGCTCTTGTAACTGTTTGGCTTTTTGGACTTGATCAATTTTCTGATCAAGTTTATTCTGCTTAAGCCACCGGGGTTAGAATAGCTGAAATGCCGTGCCGATCAATCTTATCATAGGCCGCCTTGGTCAGAACTGACCAGGAGAAGAAAGACGTGTCAAAGACAGACTCATGAGCAACTAAAAGGCGTGAATATCTCCTGATAAATCTAGCTTGGACCTGGTCGGGGTTGTGCCGGTGGTGGTGAAGGAGACTGTATATGCTTAGCCTCATCTATCGATGAAGAAGATGAGGATGTGGATGTAGAAGAGGCAGAGCACTCGGACTGAGCTGGAGCTGGCTCCTCAGTTTCCTCTACACGCAGTCTCACTCTGCGCTGATACTGCCGACGGGCAATAGTCTTGACTCGAGCTATGGCCTGCAAAAAGAAAAGAAACACTTGCAATTGTTGTCAGTAATAGGTATAGCATATGAAATATAGAATTGAAGCATAACAAATAAAAACATGTTTGTCAAGTTAAGATAGACAACTTTGAATAAATTACATGAATCTATGCAAGTGATATTGCAGTTAGGTATAGAGAGTGACTAAGTGAAACATGCTAGATATGATAGAACAAAATGCAACCAATGTGGAAAACACAGGCATTGGGCATAAATTGGATAGTATGAAACATAAAAGATGGTATGCAAGATAGGAAAGTTTGATTAATCATGAAAAAGATAAGATCGATCCAAGTTGGATCGATTATAAGATGGTTGAGATCGATCTTTCTCTGATCGATCAGAGAAAGAGTGTGATCGATCAAACTCTGTAAAAAAACACAAACAATCACAGATCTGTGACGTGGACAACAAGGGGGCACCCGAATATGCTCAAGGGCCCCTCCACACCTCAACAAATCAATATTGGTCACTTAAATAGGCACGTAACCCCTAAAATCAAAATCAGAACAAAATATATACATATATATACACACATGCTTCAAAGCTTCAAAAATGGCAACAAGTAAATATGAAAGTTGTAGATCTAAAATGGCAACATCTAAAACATGCGGGTCAACTTAAAAATGAAAAGAGGGAACCCAAAAACTTACCAAAATGAGAGGAGAGAAGCAAACCGAGAGAAAGATGAGATTGGGATCACGAAATGGAGTTTTGAAGCCTTGGGATGTCGCCGGAGGTTCACTAGAGGTAAGGAAGAAGGCGAAACAGTGGTGGGAAAAAAGGAGGGCCTGAGATCGATGTTGAAATCGATCCAAATTACCTTTGGGTCATATTTTTAAAAACTGTTCCGACGAGTTCGATCAATCACTTGGGAATTAGATCGATCGAACTACGATCGATTATGAAGGAAGTCAGATTAATCAAACCTAAAAACGAAAAAGTATTTTTGAAAATTATTATTATTATTATTATATATATATATATATATATATATATATTTAAAAAAATTAAAATTAAAAGGTAAATTAAATTTTTTTTGAATTTTTGGAAAATAAAACAAATTTCAAAAAATATTCATGGATTTTTGGAAAATAAAAGTAAAAATAAAACAAAATTCTATTTGATTTTTGATTTTTTTATTATTATTATTTCTTATTTTTTTAAAATTCAAAATTTAAAAAGAAGTCAAGGTCAACAGGAAGCACATAGATCGATCGAGACTCAATCGATCCAACAGGTGAAAACCCGCAGACATGTTCGAACGATACATAGTGAGGTGATTTTTTTTTTATGGTTTCAAAATTTTTCTAAGTATGGGACACAGATCGATCTAAGGAAAATCTAAATCGATCTTGGAACACTCAGATCAATTGAAAGTAAAGTTCGCATGATACACAGAGAGCTGGAATATGCAGGAAATTTACGCACGATGGGACAGAGAGATGATTGGATGCAGAGATGATTGTTCGATCGATCTGACTTTTTTTCAGATCGATCGAACAGACACTAAATGTCTAATTCGAAACTGAAAGTGCAAGCATTCTCAATCAAAGTTCTTAACAATGTGATGAACCCAGAACATATCTAGACGACGCAAGAAATGAAAAGTAAAATAAAAATGAGGGAGGAATAGGGTTGTAAACCCTACGAAGCACTAATGTTTAATGTATCTAGCAAGACGTTGGGCTCTTTTAGCCCGGATCAAAACTCTTGTTGTGCATCCCTTCCTTAGTGGGGGTGAAAAGCACTTTAAATCCCACCCAACAAATAGTTCCCTAAAGAACTTGTTGGATTTGATTCAGAGGAGATTGATAGTCCTTTGTCTATACAATTCTTGGGCTTCCATGCCCTTTTAACACTTATTTTAAAAACATTTTCCTTAGAGTCTTTTTGGAAACTCCATTGACAAGCAAAGACTCATGTTATTCAAGTTCATTTTTAATACATTTTCCCACAACACACACTTCTTCATGCTTGTCCATTGAAGTCGAGGTTAGATTAAATATGTTTAACTTCACTTTCATGTGACTAAATGAGATTTTCATTATCCCCATCCTACAATTTATGTTGGCATTTGCGGTTGCCAAGAAAGGATGGCCAAGGATAATGGGAATTTGGCTCTTGGGATTCAGAATCGGTTCCGTGTCAATGACGATGAAATCAACCGGGAAAAAGAACTTATCAATCTTGATCAATACATCCTTAATAATACCCCGGGGCTTTTTGATGGATCAGTCGGCAAGTTGCAAAACTACTGCGTCGGTTTAGAATCTCCTAAGCCCAATTTAACATATATCGAGTACGGAAGAAGGTTAACACTTCCTCCTAAATCAAGAAGAGCCCGATTAATGACATGGTCACCAATGATGCAAGAAGTAGTAGGTGAACCGGGATCCTTAAATTTTAGGAGGGTGTTGTGTTGAAAAATATAGCTTACTTGCTCGATCAAAACCACTTTCTTTGGTGCTTGGCCTTTGTTCTTCCCCTTTTGGGTGCAAAGATCTTTCAAAAATTTGGTATAAGCCAGAATTAATTTAATTGCATCTAAGAGCGGAAGATTGATCTTCACTTGCCAAAACATTTCAATGATTTCGTTGGCTTTGCCTTGTTGTTTTTTAAGAGAATTGGATCCTTTCAAGGCATCTAGAAATGGAGCTCTTGGCTCAAAAACCTTTTTATAGTCTTTTTTCACAAAATCTTCAACATAAGAATTTTTCAAATCATTTTTCAGCACTTTTTCAACAAAGGGTTCATGCACATGCAATGAATGAGGAATAGAACGGGATGGGTGTCAACTTTTGGTTGCACTAGTTCACTCTCTTCATTTGATTCACCAATTTGGTTGTCAACGATTTTCCCACTTCTCAAGGTTGTCACCGCATTGGCATGCTCGATTGTGTGACCTACCGATGAGGATTTGGTTTCCACAACAAATTATTGCTTTGGTGGGGTATTTAGAGACATCTTCCCTTTCTCTCTAATATTCAAGGCACTAGCTATTTGCCCGACATAGGTTTCTAGCTTAGCAATGGATTGGGAATGAGAGTGAAGCAATTGAGTGTTTGCCTTTAGAGTACCCAAAGTGGTCAACACTTTTTCCTCAAAAGTGGGACTTCTAGTATTTCCTTGAGAGTAAGACGATTGATTAGGAAAATGAGAGTTTGATAATTGGTTTCCATGTGATGATTGAAAAGATAATCTATAACCTTGGGAACCTTGGCTTTGTATTGGGGGTGGAACATGCTTTCCTTGAAAACCACCTTGGGGAGGGTTTGAGCCTTCCCCTTGGCTTTTTCAAGAGAAGTTTGGATGGTTCCTCTAACTAGGATTGTAATGTGTGCCATAGGGATTATTCCCTTGGTTGACAAATGCAGCATTCACTTGTTCATGGTTCTCACTTTACACATGTCCATGGGGACATTTGGAAGTAGAATGTAAGACACTAGAACAAGTTATCCAAGATTCATTAGATGAATGATGAACATGATTTGGAGAAGAAGGCACTTGATTCGCCGAATTTTGGTTGATCAAAAATTAATCAAACCTTTGAGATAAGGATTTCACCTTGGCGGCTATGCTATTGGAATTGTCAACTTGATATAAGCCGACATTCTTCATTCCACCTAAATTTCTACCATTTTTAGAGGCAAAGATCTATGCATTGAATTCTCACACATGCTTTCATATAGACGCCACATATCATCCTCATGCCTATCAAGATAAGAAACACCCACAGAAGCATCAACCATTCCTTTAACATTATCCGACAAAATTTTGAAGAAAAATTGTGCCAATTGTCATTTAGGAATGTCATGATGTGGACACTTCCTAAGCAAGTCATTGAGGCACTTCCATGCCTCATGAAATAATTCCCCATCCTCGTGAGAAAATTCACGAATGGAAGTTCTCATTGTATTGGTCTTTGAAACTGGATATTACTTTTTCAAGAACTCTTACTACATTTCTGCCCAAGTTATCGAAAAAGGCCTAAGATTGTTGAACCAATATTTTGCCTTATCTTTAAGGGTAAAAGGAAAAAGGTAAAGTCTTAACACTTCTTCTGGCATGTCCGTGTATTTCACGGTGGAACACACTTCAAGAAACTCATCTAATTGCTTGTAAGGTTCTTCATTTGGAAGTCTATGATAATTGGGAAGCATTTAAATGGTTTGTGGCTTAGTTTCATAGTGATATGCTCTAAATTGGGGCAATTGAATGCATGTAGGTGCATTATATTCATTTATCACATAATGATCACACAAAGCAACAGGAGGATTCATAACCGGTGGTGCTACATGAACACCTTGATGGCCTTGCATGATGGGAGGTTGTGGAGCAAAAATTGCCCAAGGCATTCCCAATGGAACTTAGCCTTGTTGTTATGGTGGAATGTATGGTCTTACCATGCCTAATGGGACTTGAATGTTGTCATGATGCACATTAAGGTGGAAGATGCCTTGTTGGTCTATGTGACCAAGGTCTTCCACACAGTCCTCATTGATGTCTTCCATTAATGAAATGGAATGACTAGAATTACGCCTTCCCTTAGAATTATGAACAATGGATTCAAGATTCAAATTAAGTCAGACAAGAGTAGGATTTAATAATCTACGACCATGCATGCACAAACAAAACAAAAACAAGCAACAAGCAAGTAGCAATCACTTTTCCTCCGCAACAAATCAACAATCAACAATCCTCCACATACAATGATCCCATACTCCCATGCTTTGAACAATATACAAGAAAAATTAAATTGCCTCCACGCGGGCTCATGATCTATCTAAGAATTTAAAAAATTACTACCACGTGGGCTGACGATTTAACTAGAGATTGAGTTAAAAAGAGCTCACAAAGGGTTATTAAGTAACTTCAATTTATTTTTTGATTTTTCAAGTCTTGCTATGCTTTGTAATTTTTTTTTAGAATTTTGGCCTTTTTATGCTTAGCTTAGCTCCTTGCTTTTCAATTCTCCCTTGCTTCACTTCTTTCTGCTTAATTCACCTACCCAATCAAGAACAAACACAAAGTAATCAAAATAAAATAAAGTAAAAACACGATCAAAAGAGTACTAATTCCTAATTGTTTCCAAAATATGGTGGTGCCAAATCCTCAGCAATGACGCCAAAACTTGGTGTTTGTCGTGGGGCAACCAATTAAAACATGTTAAAAAGTGGCCAAGTTTGAATTTATAAAGTGCCACTACTACCTCTAACTACTAATATAGCTAGGGTGAGTAGGGATCGTCCCAAGGGATAGGAAGCAATATTGATATGGAAACAAGGTCGGATTAGTAGGTCGAGTGATCAAAAGGTGGTTTGATTGGTTAATTAAACTATAATGTTAAACAAATTCAATAAAAAATAATTAAAGTAAATAAAGGGTAAAGAACAAGATAGAGGGATCTTGGGATTTAGAGGTCACCACTAAACATCACCTTTTAAGATACTCAATGTGTAATGAATGAGGGGAAATATAAGTTGCAATGCTAATATGTGTAACCGATTGAATCAACAAGCATGGATGACTAATTAAGTATACATTGTCTTGCCAACCTAATGAATAGCACAATATATCAAACCAAGCCATTATTCTTTCCTTTATGCTCACAATCAAAACACATTAACAAGCTAGCGAATTATACTACTTGCATTCATAAGCATGGAACATGAAACAATAAGCATGGAACATGAAACAATAAGCATGGAACATGAAACAAAAAGCATGGATTGTCGTCCCATCTAAAAAAATAAGATAACTACACTACAACTAAACTAAGGACATGAAAATTAAACTAATTCAACTAAGGTAGAGGCACAATCCATTAAGAAATGAGTATGAACCATCAAACAAGCCATAAAAGTATTCCATTAAAGCACCATGCCTTGACAATCTCTAGATTCATAGCATCAACACACATAAACATGCATCAATATCACAAAACTAAGAGATAAATACATGAACATCTATTTTAGCATACATAGACATATGAATAGAATGAAATGATCAATTGGAAGTACTAAACAACACAAATCATTGTTAAAACAAGATTTATATAAAAATCAAATGTCAAAACAAGAATTACAACATAAATCCCCTCAAAATACAAAACATCAAGATCTAGAAGGCATACTTAGGGCTAACTCTAGCCCCAATAAGATGTTTAGCCACTCATTGATGCAGTCATCCAACCCTCAAGGGCCATCTCCATGGTAGGAATGATCTTCTTGATGGACACCATAGATGAATGCAAGAACTCCTAAATGATATGCATCTCTCTAATCTTTAGACTCCTCTAACCTCTCTCTCTAAGATTGTGTGTATTTCTAAGATTGTATATGTGTAAAATTGCTCAAGATCCTTATATAGGTAGCTCAAATGTCACACCCAATGGTCAGGTTTTGTGCACTAGGCCCCCTTCAATGATTGCACCATGAGCCATCTTTTAATGAGCTGGACTCTGTTTTTTTTTTTTTCGAACTTGAGGAGGTTCGATCAATAGAATTCTGATGAGATCGATTAAAGTATGGCCAGATCAATCAAAGTATGGCCAAATCGATTAAACTTTGGCGGCGCCCTTTTAGAATAAGATAAATCTAAGATATTTTTAGGATATTTTGGGAAAAAGAAAAAAGTGGTAGGTGGGGATAAGATCAAAGAAGTTAGATTGATCGAAAGGATGTTGAATCGATCGAAGATGAAAATTCTTAAGGATAAAGACAAGGTGTTTGATCCATCTTGGCGAGGCTGGATCGATCATTATAAGATTGATCGAATATTGGTCTGATCGATCGAAGCTTGTTATTTTCCACCACTTTGCTCCTTTCTTCCATTTAGCTTGAGATTGCTTATTTTATGCTCTAATTTGGCTGAATTAACTTATTTTGGGAATAAGCGCCTGAAAAAAGGCAATAACATGAAATTAGTCTAAAACGGGAAAATAAGATGGATAAAGGTTCTAGAATACTCAAGCTTAAGGGCTTTAAATGTACACTTTTCAGTGCTCGTCAATTGGGTTTACAACCAACAACGTTGATTTCACCAACCCTTTGTAGCTTATGGGCTTGCTTGAGCTAAATCCTATAAGAATTTTCTGGTTGTTCGTCTCCCTCTGGACGTCCATAAAACGTATTGATTACCCAGATAGGATGGTTTTCTGTTACTGCCTTTGGAGTCAGTCGAGTTCGCTCATGTTGCCTCTGTTGTCCTGGTTTACTTAAGTAGTCTGCTAATTCACCTTTGGCTATCAGTGTTTCCAGTTGTCTTCTCTAGCTCTTGCAATCATTAGTTAAGTGGCCGAAATCACTATGAAACGCATAGTGCTTACTTTGGTCTCTCTGCTCCATTGGTTGTCTAATCGGTGGTGGGATCTGAAAATGTTTCTAGCCTTAGTCTCTTGATACAGTTTGGTCATAAGTGCTGAAAAGTGTGCATTTAAACCCCTTAAGCTTGAACATTCTAGGACCATATTCTATCTTATTTTCCCGTTTTAGTGTAATTTCATGTTATTTCCCTTTTTAGGCACTTATACCCAAAATAAGTCAATTCAGCTAAATTAGAGCATAAAGAATGCAATCTCAAGCTTAGTGGAAGAAATGAGCAAAGTGGAAGCAAAGTGGTGAAAAACAGCCTCTTCGATCGATCGAACTAAGCTCTGATCGATCACACAGTAATCGTTCCAACCATACCATGATGGATCGAGCCTTTTGTCCTTATCCTCAAAAAATTTCCCTTTTCGATCGATCCAACATTCCTTCGATCGATTGAAAATTTTTGATCTTATCCTCACCTACCACTTTTGTCATTTTCCCAAAATATCCCAAAAATATCTCGGCTTTGTCTTTATTCTAAAAAGGCGCCGCCATAATTCGATCTATCGAAACACACTTATATTCAATCGAACCTCCTCAAGTGCGAGAAAAATAGAGTTCCAGCTAATTAATAGGTGTGCTGGTGGTGCAATCATTTAGAGGTCCTAGTGCACGAGGTCCGACCATTGGGTGTGACATTTGAGCTACCTATATAAGGATTTTGGCCATTTTTATGATATAGAGACTTTAGAGGGGAACCATATACACAAGAGAGGCTGGAGGAGTCTAGAGATTAGAGAGAGATACACACCATTTGGGAGAGTTCTTCCACTCATCTAGGGTTTCCATCAAGGAGAAGAAGATCATTTCTACCATGGAGATAGCCCTTGAGGGTTGGATAACTACATTAATGAGTGGCTAATCCATTCTCTTGGGGCTAGAGATAGCCCTAAGCATGCCTCCTTGACTTTGATGTTTTGTAATTAAAGGGGATTTGTGTTGTAATTATTGTTTTGACATCTTATATATATAAATCATGATTCTATAATGATTTGTGCGGCTTAATACTTTCAATTGATCATTTAATTCTATACATATGTCTATGTATGCTAGGATGAACGTGATGAGCGCTGAATATATGCATATTCGAGCCCCTAAGTACATATATGTTAGGGCCGAAAGTGATACTTTTATCCATAATTAGACAAATTTATGTTTAATGTGTGTTTATAGGTACTTTCCTAAATAAATGGTTAAAACTGGGACTTTATGATGATATCGAAGCTTATAGAATCATTATCGGTCATTCAGAGCAAGCCAAGAGCTGAATTGGTTAAGTTTGAGGCAATTGAAGCCTTAGAGCTCGAGCCCAAGTGTTGAGGGTCGAGCATCACAACAAAGAAGAGAAAAAAAGTCAACAAGGCCCAAATGCTCGAGCCTTAACCAAGGGTGCTTGAGCCTTGACCTTAATGCTCGAGCATGAGGCGTCAGAAATAAAAAGAGTTGATTTAAATAAAAGGCTATACTCCCAAGTCTCGTACCTCACCTCTAGGATCGAGCACCATCCATAAAGGATCGAGCATCATCTATTGATGCTCGAGCAT